ACTCTACAAGGCTTGAATCCTGCTTTCACTGCAGGCAGAGCCAGGAAGTGTCTGTGCACCCATTCCCACCTCTCAGCTGCTGCAAGCTGGGGCAGCCCCAGAGCTGTGGGAGGATGCTGAGGCTGAGCACCAGCACAGACTGCACCTCTGTCCTGAAGGAACACTCCTGAACTACGGATGCTTGCTCCACAATTGGTGTCTTATCCATAATTTAAAAATAAAAATAAATGAACTGATGTCAACAGGGTGGCTGCACTTACTGTCTGCCCAGGGAGAGACAGACCAGTTGGGACCTTTTTGTTTGTGGGTCCTGGGTGGGAGAAAGCAGGGCAAACACAGCAAATGGAATGTGTGCTGTGAATGCTGTCCTCTCTCTGCTCCAACTATTGCACATGTAAAAATAAGGATGAGCAGCACGTCTGGGGAGGTGTGAGGTGCTAGCCCAGAGAGGATTAAAGGTCAGGCTGCTCCCACTGGTCAGAAACCTCAATTTTGGCTTGGTAGCGCTGCCCTGATGAAGTGTGATGTAAATTCACAGGACCACATGGTGGCTAGTGATCCTCAGACTAACAGAAATCTGAAGTATGTACATGTGTGCTAATATTTCAGACCCTGTGGAATGATCTGAAACTTGAGGTGATACAAAATCAATCTGATTCTGAAGAATAAAAATACTGGCTTGATTTTATTTTTCTGTATCAGTGAATGACTTGTCTTTCCCCTGATGCATGACTGGTATAAAACAGGACAAGAGCAAACCATGGAGACTAAACCACTAATCCTGCTGCCTGAGAGTTAATGCTTCAAATCCTGTGTTGCAGAAAGCGTGGAATGGGTTCACCTCACATGTCTGCAGAGGCCTTTCTTACAGGTGCAATTTAGAGGGAGAGATACTGCTAAGAATTTTAGTAGCACCTTCCTTTTTGCTCATTGGTTTTCTCCAGTGTTAAACCCACCTCATTTCCTAAAAGCACTGAAAATATGCACAACCTGCATGAAAGTTCCTTTGTGGCTGATTTCAAAAGCCAGTGCAGGTGCTTTTCTGTTATTCCATACTCTGTGGTCCAACAAATTTCACAGATAATTATGCAAGAAATATGAGGTTGCCTGTGAAAGAGTTTAAAATAGCCTGGAAGAAGATTGAAGGGAAGGGAACAGAAAAATGAAACATTAAAAAATATGTGTGTCTGAGAGCACTGACTGTAACACAGTAAACTCCAGTATAGATGAACAAATTATATATTATTCACAAGCCTTGAAGAACACACAAACATAACCACCTACTGACTGTACAGGATGCTTCAATACCACTTTAAAAGGATATGGTACAAACCATGATATCCCCAGTATAAAAGTGGCAGTATTACAATTACAAGTATCTTTTTTTTTTACAGTAATGATATGACAAAGGAATGAAACCTCAGCTCACAGGAGAAATTGCACCAGTGACAGCAATTTCTGCTGAGGCACCTGAGGGCCTTCATGTGCCCACGGGAAATGCTGGGCATTGCTTTCCCCAGAAAAAGGGACTTGCTCTGGAGAGGTATTTGGGCAAATGAAGAAAATAATAATATCCATGGCAGAGAGCTGAGCAGCCTGATGCCCATGGTATATGCTGTGGCCAAGTGGCAGGCAAGATAAATTGTAGAGAGGAAAGGGAGCATTTCAAACCATCCTTCAAACCAAAAAGACCTTGAAGTAGTGAAGGGAATCATGAACGTAAATGTGCAACAAAATAGGCAAAGAAACAGAAACTGGTGTCTGTGTTTCATGGCAAGGTTTGGCTTTTGTTTTGCTCCCACTGTTGCTACTGCACAATTCACTGGTGATGGAGGCAGCTTTTAGGACAGAGTCTATTGAATGAGCCACAAAGAATCATTTATGACTTCTGAGGCTGCCATGGCCTGGCCTCACCATACTTTAATAAGATGAGACCCCAAAGAAAAAGTTTGCTGGACCTGGCAGGAAGTGATGCTTGGGACTACACATCAACTTCATGCCCTTCACAGTACAAACAACCTTAGCCTGAATTTTGTTCTATGCAGGGAGGACTGCATAACAGCCCTGAGTACTGGGATGGTGTGCTACCCATGATCAGATCTCACAACAAAAGGGACAAAGGACCATTCATCAGCCCTGACATTTATTAAAAATGTTAAGATGGCTCCTACAAATAATTGTGTTCTCTGAAAGAGAAAACAAAGCCAGCTCTCCACACAGCCCAGCTGTGTCCCAGAGCAATAGCTGGTAGGAGTAGAAGGCAATGCAATCTTTCCTCTGCAACATGGACTCAAACTGCCAAAGCAGCAGCCTTGATGAGGTGTTCTCTGATGAAATTTAACTGGGAAGCACCAAAAGCTTGATCCCAATACCATTAAGTCACGGTGTGGCAGGGCAACACTGAGGTTCAGCCTGCTTTATACACACTAATACGTAGCCATGGGGTGGAGATGGCACAAGGTGATCATCAGCCAACAGCCAAACTGCTCACAGGGGTCTCCCAGTCCTTGCCACCTCTCAGAAGTTATGTCTTTGTTTGGGTGTGAATATATGGGTTCACCTGAACACCTGGGGATATTTAGGACTCAAGCAAGATTTCTTAGTGACACATTATGGCTTGAAATTATATACATTTACACACTGTAAATAAAACCCAGTGTGAGATTAACTGGCCTGAAACCTTTCAATATGGTTAACAAAGAAGGTAGAAAGTTGCAGGTGACCTTTTGAAATGTTCTCATGCACAAAATAAACAGCAAATCCCAAATCTTTGTGTGAGTTTAAGCACTGACGTCAGTGGGACTCCCATGGGAAGTTTTGGGAGTTTGTCTTTACAAGAACAGAACCACCAAATTGGTAAAAGTTTTGACTTAAACCAGGTCAGTATGTCAAAAGCCACAAAGCAAAGTCTGGGATAAAACAAAGGCCGAAGCAAATGTCCCTTGGATTAATTTTTACCAGCAGCATATTGGGCTTTTGAACTGTTCTCCAACCATCTACAAAAGCAGCTATGGGCTGGCTACAACCAAACTTGAAAGGGGAAGACATTCCTTTGTAGTTCACGTTTGCTGGCTTTGAAGTCACAGTGAGTCTTACCAGTGACTTCAATGGGACTTGCCTTACACTTTCATATTAGCCATTGTTTTATCCTAACGCCTTTCAAAATTCCAGACAATAACATTTCTCTTTATTGTAATCCTGACAGAGCAATTAGGCTCCAGTCCACACCTGCACCTGACTTTTTTCTTCACACAGCACTCTTTGAGCTTCTCTTCTCTGAACAGAGTTATGAGGGCTGAATTAATGGTGTCTCTGTGCTTTATCTGCTGCCTCTGTATTTCATGACCTGATGAAGAACATGAAATTCTTCAAGGCTTGTACAGATGATCTTTGGTTACAACCAGCTGTAGTTTTCACCTACAGTTTTATGAGTGTGCTTAGCAGAAAAAGAAAAGCTTCTTTTTATCAGGGTAATTAGGCAATAACAGAATGACAGGTTGTGGACTAAAGCATAATCATTCACAGGTGCATTCATAGCATGGTTTTAATCATGAGTTCAGAAGCTGAATTGCACTCCCAGTGTAACAAGCTATGAAATACTGCTTCATAATTTAAAAATTTGAATGTGTTTTTTAAATAATAAAACATTTCCTTTCATATCTTTAATATATAAACCAGATATCCACATGCCAGAAATACCTGCTGAGGAAACACGAGGTTCTCATTCCTCTAAGGCAGCCCCTAATCTTTCACCTTCTTGTCAAATCTGCAAGAATGATCTTTGTCTGCACAATATTCCATTCCACAACACCCACCAATATTCCTGTCTAACTACAACTCCTGTCTGAGCTACACTGGACCACTCCCTGCTCCATTCTAATGCCTTGGCAGCCTGATATTGAGGAAAGGTACCCAGAAGAGAACATTTTTCCCAGTATTTGCTGGCAGAGCTCCCCACTCTCGCCTGGGGTGAAGCTGATTGCCAAACACAGACCCAAAGAGGAAACTGTGGGTGCTCCCAAAACTGGCAGAGACACCATTACCCATGGGATTCCAGCATGGAAAGAGTGAGGAGAGCCCAGCACAGAGCCTACAGTGCTGCACAAAACCATCCTGTGGCTCTCTGAAGCACCTGTGGGCTCTACAAACAACACAACGTTCACCAAAAAGAACAGCGAGGGATTTTAACAAGATACTCCATTCCACAAAGCTGCTGCACTGAGGGATTCTGCAGCACAGAGCAGCTTGTTTGGGAAGGGTAACTAATGGGATTAGTACCACTTACTCCCCATCTTCTTATGAGATTTGTATTTTGCTAAGCACTTCCCAGCCGTGGCTCTCTCCCTGACTGCTGTGTGATTTCACCTTGCAGTGCTGGCAGGGGAGCTCAAGAGGAAAACACCCTGTGGAGCTAAACCTCATATGAAACCCAGACACAAATAACAGAGTGCTTTTCTTTCAGAAAAAAAAAAATTAAAAAACCAAATCCCCATGACAAGCAACAGCAGCAGTGATTTTAAAAGACAAAGATTTTTTTCCTGCTTTCTGTAATGTTTGTTTCAGGACTAGAATACAAAATTCATTTATTTATGTTATCTTGCCATTGACTTTCCAAATGACTAATTAAATCAAAATGAAGAGCAGTTGTCCTTTGAAATATTTATGAATCAAAACTAATGTGGCACCGAAGCGGCCCCATGAAGTGACTCAAGGGATAATTTTATCCAGGTATTTATCAATAATAAATCCCTCATACTCATCAAAGCATCCATACTGGGCAATATTCTTACAGTTTTCAGGTAAATCTTAACATCATCCATGTGCACAGAACTATGCACTGAAGTAGCAAGAAAGTGGTCTAAATATATACTTATAGATTTTTCTATTTCATTAAATAAAGAACACAACAAAATTCCTATGCACAATCTGTGGACTTACAGCTTTCTAGCTGTAATGGATGGTACACAAACAGAAACATATACACAGGAGGAGCTACTTGCCATCAACACAGGAAGGTCTGTTTCTTGTAGTCCCAGCCACTTTCCCAGGTAGACAGGAGCATTTTACTGTTTGTGATCTTTCCTCAATTCGATTCTTATTACAGCATCTGTGTGCTGCTATAACTTCACACGTTCCTCCTTCTGGCAAAAAAAAAAAAAAAGAAAAAAGGAAAAAAAAAAAGAAAAAGAGAATATTGACACTCTGATTAGGAAGAGCAGCAGTGGCTAATCAAAGCACCCAGGCGTGCTCCTGTCTGTGCCTCTGCCCAGCTTCTGTACAGATGGGATTACAGTTTTATTTCTGTCTTTTTGTGTGCTCCCAAACAAGCCAGGTACTATTACACTACATTTTTAACAGAAAATGTAGATAAGTTCCCTTGCCTTTCTTATATTAGAAGTCTCTGTGACACCCACATAATTTTTGGCCTAAAAGTAATGTTGTCGATGTCTGGGCCTGAAGAAATATAGGTAAAATACTACAGAAAATGTGCAGCCACTGTTGGCTGGTTTTATGCTTGTAATATAGGAGGCCTCTCCCCTAATATTTTTTCATACAAGGACAGAGACTAAGGGAATCCATCTAGAAATAAGATTTTTCTCCAAATATTTGATTCTGTGCTAGTACTCAGCCCTTAGGGAATGACAGTCTCCCCAGACTACAGGGTGGCTCAACAGCACTTCCCTTTGCTCCCCCACTCACTAGATTATCAGATTTAAGGCAGGAAACATTTCCATTGTGAGTGAGATCATCAGGTTTATTTTATCTCCTCCCTAATTGCTCTTTCTGAGCATTTGCAATAGTTTTATTAGAAGGAGAGCACAGGGGAGTGATCAACAGATCCACGGTGGCTTTGGACTTATGAAGGCTTGGTGTTTGTGCCATATGCTGAGCACAGAAATGAAGTGCCAGGTGTGCCATTCCCCTTCACCTCTGCTCTGCAAGGAGACAAACACCACGGTGGGCTAATGCCCTGCCCAGGTAATTTCTCCATTCCTCAGTTCAGATTGCATTCAGCTCACAATCACTGACTGTTTAATGGTGTCAGGCTGTTCCCCACAGATACCTGACTGCTTTCTGAAATTGCAGCACAAATTTGGCAGGGTTTGCTTCAGCTTAGTACAAAACCTCATGTGCTGCCCACTGAAGGGCAGGATGTGTGAGATTTTCTAGAAGAGCTTTATTTCTTCATGCCATTAAGAATTGCTAAGTGCATGCTGCTTTTACTACAGCATAAACCACATTACTCCTATCTTTGGATTTCACTCTTTTTGAAAGAATATTGAGAGCTTTTGACACTGTGTGCTGTGTGGCCAGGTAGGAGAATAAGAAGTGTGGAGATGCTGATCCACATCTGGCTGTCAACAAGGGGTTTTGGTAGAGGTCTGGCAGTCCAGTGGCATTTCCCTTCCAGGAGTGAATCCTGGGGTTTCTACAAATGTGGCATTTTTAATGAAGCACTGGGCAGATAGGCAGGAAGGATTCTGCCTTGCCTGATGTTGGTAATATGGGGGAGTTTGCAAGCATGAGATGAACTCTGTAGTAAACACTGAAGTCATCTGGAGAGACATGCTGCTGCACCTCTTAGTTATTAGGTGTGTTTGGGCTGCTGACACAAGCTTTGTGAAAGCCAATAGGTGTCAAAAAAAGAGAGATCCCAACAATTCAGAGAGCCATCCTCTGACAAATGGGCTTTGGAGTGTATCTCAGGAGGAAGAGGAATTGTGATAATCAACTCAGCCCCAAATGCTTGCATTTTCTATGAAGTAATCCTTCACACAAACTCCCTGTTCCCCTATCCAAATCATATTGAAAGCAATGAAAAGATTCTCATTGGTTTAATCCATCTTATGGTCATGCCCTAGGAGAAGAGAGATTTGTGATTATATTGATTGCAACTTCAACAATAAAGATAATGTACACAGTAATAAGCATTTCTAATTTTAGACTACACAGACTGTGTGGTAAATATTTGTGCATAACCTAAATGTTTAATTTTCTGTATAAATTTGCTGTATGAGTACTAAGAACCACATGACCTAGTCTTGCTTATTTGGTTATCTATTCAAAATAATGGGTTGTGGTGGAAAAGCTTTATAACACCTTTTAATTGTTATGTGGAAGCTCAAGTTGCTGGAGCAGTAATGAATTTAGCTCAAATTCTGTAGTTGTTTAGGAGGGGCAAAACATAATGACACTATAAAAGCAATGAAAAACCATTTTTTTAAACTGCTAGAACATTAAATACATTAATTGGAAGTTTTATCTACATAGTCTATAAAAGTATGCAAATATTAATAATTATAATAATAGAAAGACCCCTTCCAGTGCTGATAGAGAAGAAAAAACTCCACCTCACATGGAGAAAATTCTGGAGGTTATACAGCCTGTTTTCCTGAAAAATCTGTTCAGTGGGATCAGAAATTTGCATTAAAGCATGTTTAGTCTACGGTAACATTGCATGCAATGTGTTTTCTTGTATGGATTTTACCAACCATGCATGTACATGTGAGACTTTTAAAAATCCAGATACAAAATGGCAATAGAGACAGATATAAATGGGCACAGTGAGAATAGGAAAAAAAAAACTAATTGAAAAAGCATACTCCTTACTACATCATTCACAGAAACATATATACCATGAATATACTGAGGGTGGGAGGTTCTATTTAAATCTACTTCAGCTGCATAAATGAGGAAATTAATTGAGTGGGGAGAGAAACACAAATCCATCTTCAGTTTCCACTGAAAACCACTCAATGTGTTCAGATGGATATGTGAAATACCTTTGCATTCTGTGATTTTTATTTTTTATTTCCAACATCTTTTGGGGGAGGGAGGGGGCTGGAGAGCACCAAAAATACTCTATTTCAATATGTGATGAATTTCCTGAGCCATTTTTTTTCCCTTAATGGTTCACCTGGATTATGGGAAGATTGGGCAAGATATTACATGGCTGGGAGTTCTGAAAAAAAATGGGAATTATTGACTTGATAGGCTGTGAGTGCAGCAAAAGTTTGAATCCTTGTCATAAACCCCACAAATGTCTCTGTTTTTTGAAGTTTATGGTCTATTGAGCTACAGTAGCTTCTGGCTTTGATTCCACAACAATAGTCTCATCCAACTCATTCAAGTCAATAGGGGATTTGCCATTGAATTTAAAAGGAGAGGAAAGGGGCCTAAAAATCCTCAAAGTAAATGTCTTCTGAATGTTATGTTGACAGTTACATTTCATGAAGTGGCTGTTTTATCCACCTGCCTTTTTTTTTTTTTTAAATAATTTCTTTCTGCACCAAGAAAACCAGAAGATCAGAAATGGAATTGGAACTTGCAGACCAGGAAGAGCATTGATCTTCCTTCAAGAAGCTTCAGAGGTGAATGAAAATATCCTGTTCTGACTTATACCTTCTTCACACCAAACATCAGCAGGATTTGATAGTGAGAACAGCTGATCCTTTCTGAGCACTCAGTTCACAGGAGGGCTCAGCTTTGCATGGAGGAAATGTGACCAAAGCCAGAGGGACAGAACTGCCTGCCAGGGAGGATCCTGGCATGTAGAAGATGGCAACTCTCTGTGTCATTGCAACTCTGCCCATATTCCCCAGCCTTCCAGAAACCCTTGTTCTGCACCAACTTCAAACAGAAAACTGTAGAATTAATGGATCATTCTTGCTGTAAAACAGAGACAACTGTGTGTTACCCCTGCAAATGGTTTTGTTCTAATTGGAGGACACTAACTCCTGAAATAATGCTCATTTTTGTCTCTGTTATAAAGCCACCTTGAGTTTACACACAACAGAGTGAAATATTTTATCATCTGTATGAGTCTGCTGTGGGAGGCTGTGATTTAAAATGTCTAATCACCTATAAGGTCTGAGTGCATGCCTGGCAGAAGCCAAAAAGCCATCTTCTAGTCATCTCTGTTTTTTATACCTCCAGCTAGGAGGTAATAATAAAAGCATATTTTGCACTTCAAAATTATAACTTGCCTCTGCATTCCAGCCAAGCCTGAACTTATCAGTAAACAAACATAAAAAAGGCAAACAGCACTACTGATTTGTGTTATACATTGTGGAAGTCATTAACTATGACTCAGGTAGCAAAACTTATACGTTCTCTCTTTGACAGTGATGACAATTTAATAGTATTTGACTCTGCTGAGTTACATGGAGTGTCCTGCAGCAATGAGAGTGGTTGTTTATCAAAATGATAAACATGTTTTCATTTCCTCCTTGGCTGCATGTATGTGATCAGAAGTCTAAGGCCATCAAGAATTCACTTATTCTGGCCACCAGACAGACATTAAGCTATTCAGGACCATCTGTGCTTGAAATGAGTTCCACTTAATGGACCTTCCTAGGGCAGGTCAATCATAATGAATGCATGTGTGCATGAATGCATGAGCAGAGCAGAGCTTTGGTGAGACTTCTTGGGCTGTTTGGCACTGGCAGAGCCTGCTGACAGATAAGATGTGCCTTTCTTCTCAGGGTCACACACCCAGTGATTTTAGAATTCAGATCCTCTGTTACATTTGCTTCTAGCTCATTGCAAATGCACCTCACAGCCTAATCCAGAGGAAGGTTGTTGTAAGAATCTGCTCCTGCTACTTGCAAAAAAATAATGGTGCCCAAAACACATCATGGGCTTTGCTGGCCAAATTCTGCCTCTGTTACACCACTGGTGAATCACCAGTGGGAATATGAGCAAAAGAAATCATATGGACCAATTTTATCAACATTTCCAGACAGTTCATTAGGACTATAGCTGGTTTGTGGTAGCTCTATTTATTTGTAACAGCTTCAAGTATCCAGTCTTAGTGCCAGTGCTATCATCCTGCTAAGGTCGGAGACCCATATGTTATTCTGAAAATGCTTAAGTATGTGCAGATGCTGCTGCTAGATCTAGGAGAACAGAGGAAATTTAGGAGAGAATTTAAGTTCTATAGACTCCAAGCAGATGTTTAACAACATGACAGCAAAAATTCTTCAGACACTTGTAGACTTGCTGAAAAATTGCTCCCAGAAACAAATGGATATAAAAATTTGCACACTCTCCACCCCATGTCTTTATACAACAAAGGAAAGAAAGGAAAAAGAACCCTGTGACAGCCATTTTTTTTTTTTTTTTACATTTACTATAAAGA